GAGAATCATTTGAATATCAAAGCATTAAGGGAGCCCTAAGGAAATAAGTAAAGTCCTAATTAATTTCAGGGAGTCCTGGTGGCGCAGTGGTTAAAGCGCACAGCTGCTGACCGGAAAGGTTGACAGTTTGAACACACCAGCTGCTCTGCAAGAGAAAGATGTGACGGTCTACTTCTGTAAAGATTACAGCTTTGGAAACCCTATGGGGCAGTTCTTCTCTGTCCTGTAGGGTCACTATGAGTCTGAAATGACGGCAGTGGTTTAATTATTTTAAAAAATGTCCATTTTTTGGTGGTGCTACAAAGATTAATATAGAGTGAGGGTGTAGTATGTTAGCTGTTCTGTTATTTGGTAGAAACATCCTGAATCTTTCTCCTCCCACCCCAGCCCCTGTCAGAGAAACCAAAACCCAATAGAGGAGCAATCTTTGAATGTATAGTTGTAATTTTAACTTGTTTTGTTAAAGATAAATCTGTTTTCCTAACATTTTGATTAAGTTTTCAAAATAAAGACTCCTTGTTTGATAATGTCTACCTCGTTGGCTTATTGCACAATTAAATTGGGTAACCATATAAAGTACTCAGAGCCCGGGGACATAGTAAATGCTCAATGCACTTTAACTGTCATAGCTGTGACTGTCATTTTCACTGTTATTCAAACCATTCTAGTCTACAGCTTACTTTAGTCCTTACACAGTATCTTGCGTATCTTCTCATATCAGACCGTAGAGATCTACTTTCTTTATTTTCACGGCTGCAGAATATTGCATACTATAGATGTCTCATATTTTACTTAGCACTCCTCCATTGTTGTGTATGTAGGTTCTGTGTTCCTCTGTTTCTCCCTTCCTTTCCTTTCCTTGCCTCCTGATAAGTAAGATAATACTTAAGCAAACAGCCTTGCACACATACCTTTGTGCACTTGTTAGTGTGTATTTGAAGAAGAAAGTTCTAGATTGAAATTACTATGTTAAAGGGAATGTGCGATTTTAACTTTGATAGTATTGCCGAATGGTCTTCCCAGAAAGCCAACACTGTTCACGCTCCTCCTGAACTGTATGAGGGCCTGAGTCTTCCTGTCTTCACCAACACTGGAGTCAGACTTTCTGACTTTTGCCAATACTAGTTTAAATGGTTATATCTTATTACTAAGTTTTCCTGTGAGATTGAGCATGTTTGCCAGGTTTATTGGACGCATTTCTTGTTTCAGGACTATGTTGTTATTGATGACTGTAGAGTTATAATAACTTCTGATGATTAGCATAAATCCCTCCCTAATTTTTCTTTCTTTCCACGTCATCTTTAGAATCCACTTATCTGGGCCCACACCACCTTTAATTGTATAGATACTTTTTATTGAGATTGCATTGACTTAAAGATTAATTTGGGGAGAATATTTCTGTTCAAGAACGTATATAACTCTCTACTTACTCAGTATTTAAAATGATCCTCAGTAAATATTTTTGTTGTATTTACATGAGACTGTTTTTTTTTTAAAACGAACACTTTCTTTTTTTAATTCTAGTCCACAGGTAGCTGTAGATTTGAAACACATCTTGGAGAGAGAGCTTTCTAAATCTCCTGACGCTGCACAACAGGTAATGGAAAAGGATTTTCCAGTGGAAAAGGCAAACTCTTGGAACAAAACATTTTTTCACGTGAATTAATTTCTAATCATAGACATCTCTAAGTTTTGTTTTTTTTTTATAATTTTAGTTATAACCAAAAAAACCCACATCCATTACCACTGAGTTAATTCCAACTCATAGCAACCCTATAGGACAGAGTAGAACTGCCCCATAGGAGTTGCTGGTGGATTCGAACTGTTGATCTTTTGGTTAGCAGTTGAGCTCTTAACCACTGTGCCACTAGGTCTCCAATTTTAGTGATCAAAAAAAAAAAAAAAAAAAAACAACTAAATCCATTGCTGTTGAGTCGATTCTGACTCATAGCGACGCTGTAGGACAGAGTAGAACTGCCCCATAGGGTTTCCAAGGAGCAGCTGGTGGCTTTGAACTGCTGACCTGTTGGTTAGCAGCCATAACTCTTAACCACTGTGCCACCAGGGCTCCAATTTTATTTATAGACATATTTAATATTAAAAAACAAACAAACCTGTTGCCATCGAGTCAGTTTTGACTGCTAAAAAATCAAACTATCACTAATATAAATACTAACTTGATAATTATTTTAGCCAGAAGCTTAGCTAATGGTTAGCACTGCAAAATTATTTGCTTTACAGAGATTTCATATGAATATTAACTTTTAAACTTAATATTTTTAAAAGATTTAAATAATTTAGTAATTATTTTATTTAAACACTCAATTTCGTCATCCCTCTAGAGTCATTAAAGAGCAATCTTTTTATTCCAAAGGTTTGACCGTAGTCGGATAACTGTGTATATAAAGTTCTTTCTGTGGTATTTAGTAAGTGATGAAAAGTATACAATAACTTAGTAAGTGATGAAAAGTATACAATAACTTAGTAAGTGATGAAGAGTGTACATTAATGTGGAATGGAATACTTCTTTGAAAATATATAGGTCATTTTTAAATTCAGTTAATCTTGTAGGTTTATATAACACATATTTCACAAAGGACTGTTGGAATGAAGCATGTTTCAAGCTGTTTACTAAAACAGATTTGTGCTCATTTGCATGAAAGCAGAGGAGCCCGGCTCCTTCTGCCCAGCTGCTAGCTGAAAGGTTGACAGTTTGAACCCACCCAGCGCCAACTGGGAGAAAGAGCTGACGATCTGCTTTCATAAAGATTACAGCCTAGAAAACCCTGTGGGGCAGTTCTGCTGTCACATGGGGTTGCTGTGAGTTGGAATTGGGGCAGTTCTGCTGTCACATGGGGTTGCTGTGAGTTGGAATTGGGGCAGTTCTGCTGTCACATGGGGTTGCTATGAGTTGGAATTGATTCAACGGCACCGAACAGCGACAACAACCTGCTGGAGATATTCAGATTATGTTTTATTACATTTATTTTACTGACGCTAAAAACTGTGAAGGACTTATACAGAAAAGACAGCCTGTGAAGATCAAAAAGTTATTTAAATAAAAATGGTGGTTATTTTTGAACCTTCATTTGTTCACCGAAGGCATTTTTATTGAGGCCTGATGACGGTAAGAGAGACCAGGTGTTCAGTGGATGGGATCCAGCCTGCTCTCATGGTGCTGTATTGAGGGAATTTCCAATGGGAACAAGAGGATATATGGATCTGCTTTCTAGGATACAAAGATTAAAATCAAATCAGTTGTGGGGATAGCACATCATCTTCTATGTATTCAAAACCATATCTTAACAACATAAATATGGCTATAATTGAACTTTTTAAACAGTGTAACAAATACCAAGTTTTTACGTGAGCTGTTTTTTCCATGCGTACTCTGGGGAGAGTTCTCCTAGGTTTCGATTCATTGAATAGAAACCAGCAGGAAGCTTTTGTAAGCCAGACTGTTTTCCTTTCTGTGCTTTGTGCGGTGGAATCTCCTTTTGGATCTTTATCGTTAGGAACAGTGAGCATGTCACACACACATGGAATGGCGTAAAACTGTATGGCAAGGAGTTTGGAGATCCAGGCTTAAGTTCTAGTCTTGCCTCTAATCTCTGTGGAGCTTCTGTGACTTAATGCTGTTGCTATGTAGCTAAAATCTGAATTCAAATTATATGTGCATATTGTGTGTTCAAGTTGTAAAATTTTTCTCACTTTATTTAAGGTACGTTGCAGCAGTTTTGTTTTTATTTCCTGTGCTCCTTCTTTTGTCTTTAACCTGCTGACATCACTTCAGATATTTTTATCAAATTATATTCAGTTATAAGTTAGGCAGGAGCAGAACTAAAGATTGAAACAGCCATTCCCTGTTTAGAATTAAGATTTGTTCAGGGCACAATGGCAGTTGTTAAAGTCTGATAGTGATCAGTAAATCTATCGCTTGTTCTGACATATCTGATTGTACTCGTCTCAGCCAAACAATTTACTTATCTAAATGGCTAGTGTTCTTTATGTGCTGTTAAAATTTCAAAATACTGTCAGTTTAGTCTGGAAAAATGATCAAGGCTTATTAGCCCAATGTAACGTAGAATCAGCCACCCTTTCTTGTCATAGTAAACAGTAGAGGCATCGGAATCAAGAGAGTGAAGCAGTACCTTCTAATTTTCGCTTCAGGATGCTGTACTGAGAAAGGAATATAACGTATTAAAGGGTAGTTCAAGTTTTATTTAAATACGTTTTTATCAGTTAATCAAGTATTACTGCTCTGTGATGTACTTGGAGCCCTGGTGGCACAGGGGGTTAAAAGCTTGGCTGCTAACCAAAAACGGTCAGCAGTTCAAATCCACCAGCCGCTTCTTGGAAACCCTACCGGGCAGTTTTCTGTCCTATAGGGTTGCTGAGTCGGAATTAGCTCGACGGCAACAGGTTTGATTTTTTTGGGTTTTATGATGAACTTTGGCATCTTCAGTTTTAGACTAACAGTGTATAGATCCGGATTACTGAAATAGAACTTCTTTTTGGCAGGATTTTGTTACTTTAATGAAAATGCTGAAAGGCCTAATTCAAGATGGTTACACAGCCTTGTTGGACAAGCGGTGTTGCTGTGTGTACAGGCCTTTACACACTTGCTAAATGGTTTAGATCCTCAAAAAATAAAGGTAAAAGTGATGTATCGTAACTTATCGGCACCAGTGCGTCTCAGATGAATGTAGAAGAGGATCGAGGCTTTAACTCCATGGCATTAATAGGCCTTAGAACTTGCCAAGATCAGCTGAGTCTAATCCCGATTGTAAGAAGCAGGTAATGCTTCACTTCAGACTTTAAGGTTACATTCAATATGTGATCCGAGTTTATACTCTCTCCTTAGCACTTCTGGCCTTTTCCCTTATTAACGTTCTAAAGCAAGGCTTGGTTTAGTCGCATGTTTGCATCTAGAAGTATTCGCTCGGTAAATAAGTCTACAAGGCTGTAAGAGAACAGATAATCTTAGTCTGTCGCTAGTACCCACTTACATGCAAAATAATAAGATTTTATAAATTCTAATCTATTATGAGCCATAGTTCCCCAAGGAATTATGAGGTAATGATTCTGTTTTAAATACTTGATTACAATATAACTGCATATCTTCCCAAAATAAATTCTTCTAATTCTGTTTGTCCTTTAAACCAATCACATTGAAAAGTCAGATTTTTATGACACGTCTTTTATGGTTATGACTAGAAGGTTGGTATAGTGCCAGTTGGGCAGAATTGTGTACAGACTTTTAACTGGAGCGTTTTTATTGACAGCAATTGAACCTGGCTATGATCAACTATGTCCTAGTGGTCTACGGGCTTGGCCTCTCTCTCCTTGGAATAGGAAGGCCTGAGGTAAGATATGTAACAGAGGTAGCAGTTAAAATATTAGACATTGCCTTAAAAAGGCATTGCCTATACCCGTTGCCGTCGAGTCGTTTCCGACTCATAGCAACCCTATAAAGCAGATTAGAACTGCTCTATAGGGTTTCCAAGGAGCGGCTGGTGGGTTCGAACTGCGGACCTTTTGGTTAGCAGTCGAACTCTTAACCACTGCGCCTTTAGAAAATATATAAAAGTAGTTTTCCAGTTTTGGCTTATTTCTTCCCCTGTACTTTTTGGGTAATTTTATCTGAAATAGCGAAGATTCATTTAGTTGTTTCGTTTTTAGAAAGTTTAGTGTGTGTTCCTGTTAGAAAGAGCCTATGCCAGATAACCAGTAGGATTCTACTTTTTATTTGTATGAAAAGTAAAGGATCTAATGCATCGTGATAGATTTCATAAACATAATGTTGAGGGAAAAGGGAAGTTAGAGGACATAACAAACATTGTACCACTTAAGCACTATCTGAAGAGCCTACAGAACAATACATACATTATTTATGGATATCTGTCTCTCTTGTAAGCGTATAAAAACGTGGACTAGACCTACATCAAATGTAAGATAATGGTTGCATTTAGGGGTGGAGGGAGAGAAAGGGGCCTGGGAGGTTAAGAAAATAGACTTCAACTTTGTGTGTTATGCTGTTTTATTTTTAAAAAACTATGGCAAAAAAATGATAATGGTGACATCTACTAGTTCTGGGTGGTGGGTACTTGTGTGCATTACTATTTCTAGAGTGCAGGCTTCCTGTAGCCTCACCCGGTCACTGTACAGGTGTGGGCACACATAGCTTCCATTACTCTAGTTTTGCCTTACTCACCTGGAATGTTTACTTACCTGCCCTTTTCTGCATCATAATTTGCTTTCCGGGTTTTGAATTTCTATAAATGTTGACATGGCTCTGGATTGACCTCAGGTGTAATAGATTCTTTCTGCTAACCTAGACTCCAGGCTTCACTGGCTAAATGAAGGCTCATCCCTAAATTGCTACGTAATTAGGATCTACGTATTCTTTATGCTCCCCTCTTCCCGGCATTCCACAGTCCTGAGTCTCAGCATGTGCCATGCTTCTTTCCTTGTGCTTGACATGACAGGTGAATATCTACCCATAAGGGCTGTCCGGCTTTCTTTCCTAATAGGTTCTTGGGGACAGGGCTTCCTGATCTCAATTCCTCTGTTCTTTTTTTTTTTTTTTATTGTCGTACTTTAAGTGAAAGTTTAGAATTCAAGTTAGTCTCATACAAAAACTTATACACACATTGTTATGTGACCCTAATTGCTCTCCCTATACTGTGACATCACACTCCTCCTTTCGACCCCTGATTTCCCATGTCCATTCATCCAGCTCCTAACTCTCTCTGCCTTCTCATCTCACTTTCAGACAGAAGCTGCCCATATAGTCTCATGTATCTAACTTGAGCTAAGAAGCACACTCTTCACAAGTATCATTTTATGTCCCATAGTCCAGTCTAATCTTTGTCTACAAAGAGTTGGCCTCAGGAATGGTTTTACTTCTGGGTTGACAAAGAGTCCAGGGGCCGTGCTTCCAGGGATCCTCCAGTCTTAGACCATTAAGTCTGGTCTTTCCACTAGAATTTGAGTTCTGCACCCCACTTTTCTCCTGCTCCATCCGGGACTCTGTTGTGTTCCCTGTCAAGGCAGTCATTGGTGGTAGCTGGGCACCATCTAGTTCTTCTGGTCTCAGGCTGTTGAAGTCTCTGGTTTCTGTGGACCTTTCTGTCTCTTGGGCTAATGCTTTCCTTGTTCAGTTCCTCTCTTCTTGACAGAATAGTATATTGCGTTTCTTACCGTGTTTTGCCTCATCAGAATTGAAGAAACAGTTGATTACACTTGTGATTTACTGTAAAGTAGTGAGACTGATCTAAAAAACAAACAGGCATGGCAGAGCTTAGACATTTAAATGAATTTTGTCGTTTAGTGTAGGCCCTGAAGGAAGCCATCATTTACTCCAATACAGCCTTTGCTCCAAACATTTTTGGAAAGCCTCCTTTGGAACTTCCTCCAAGCTATTCCTTTTGGGACTGCATCAAAGCTGCTTTGTAGTGACATATCCCTTTTGACCCACTGCAGGGTTACCAGTATTGCTTAGAGCAAAGTATCTTTTGGATTTCCCCCTCTGTCCCCCCTTACCCCCCAAAAAAACATTCAAAGCACAGAGGTTTCCCGGTGTTGAGAATATTCAAAAGAAATGTACCATAAGCTCTGTAAAGCTTTTCCTAAAGAGCTGTTTTTAAGACAGCTATTTCTAAAACATTTTGGCAACATCATTGGAGTAATGCCTGTCCTTCCAGGGAGCAGCTCTTTCTCTAGTACATGTTATGTGTGGTTGCACCACAGTTAATCTCTTTAACACTTTCTAGTTCAGTAGTAGAATTCCTGCTTTCCATGCCAGAGACCGGGTTCAATTCTCGGCCAATTCAGCACTTCCAGAACAGCCATCACCTGTCTGTTAGTGGAGGCTTCTGTGTTGCTATGATGCTGAACATGTTTCAGCAGAGCTTCCAGTCTAAGACAGACTAGGAAGAAAGGCCTGGCAGTCTATTTCTGAGTGATCAGCCTGTGAAAACCCTATAGATCACAACAGTCTGGTCCTGTTGTGTTTTGGGTTACCATGAGTTGGGGCCAACTGGACAGCAGCTAACAACAACAGGAAGTGTTAGCCAGGAGTCCCTGCGTGGTGCATATGGTTAAAGTGCTTGGCTGCTAACAGAATGATTGGCAGTTTGAGTCTACCCAGACACACCTCAGAAGAAAGGCCTGGCAATCTACTTCTGAAAATCAGCCATTGAAAACGCTATAGAGCACAATTCTACGCTGACACACATGGGTCGCCATGAGTTGGAAGTGACTCAGCGACAGCGAGTACAGGTTTTACTGTTTACATACCGATCTCTCAGTGTGTGCTAGTAAATGAATGCCCAGTGGGCTGTTGTCTGACGTGTTTGGCTCCCACTTCTAATTCTCGAACAGAAATTGTTTGGTATGTCTTTGAATATCCATATGATCAAAATTTATGTAATTGCTAAGAAAATGAAAAGCAGAAGGTGTCATTTTACTATAGGAATTTTGAGATGTACGGTTACTTTTAATATTACACACACACACAAATCAACCTTTAGGTAAAATTTGTTCCAGCATTTCTCTTTTTGTGTAAATCATCATTGTTCTCATTGCTATTGAAGGAATTATCTGAAGCTGAAAACCAGTTTAGGCAGATTCTTGCATTGTACCCTAATGAAGGACTTGATTGTCTGGCCTACTGTGGAATCGGAAGCGTGTATTTGAAAAGAAACAGGTTAGTAGCAACCACACTACTTTAAGATCTGAGCTGATAAATGATTTAAAGTCTAATATATGGTATTAGACTTTATATAGATTTGAAGTCTAATATTCCTTTTCTGGAATTTTTAAAAATTTTTTTATTGTGCTTTAAGTGAAAGTTTACAATTCAGGTTAGTTTCTCATACAAAAATTTATACCCGTGTTGTTATGTGACCCTGATTGCTCTCCCTATACTGTGACAGCACACTCCTCCTTTCCACCCCTGATTTCCCGCGTCCATTCATCCAGCTCCTGACCCTCTCTGCCTTCTCATCTCAACCTCCGGACAGGAGCTGCCCATTTAGTCTCATGTATCTACTTGAGCTAAGAAGCACACTCTCCACGAGTATCATTTTATGTCCCGTAGTCAGTCTAATCTTTGTCTGAAGAGTTGGCCTTGGGTATGGTTTTAGTTCTGGGTTTACAAAGAGTCCAGGGCCATGTCTTCCGAGGTCCCTCCAATCTCAGTCAAACCATTCAGTCTGGTCTTTTTACTAGAATTTGAGTTCTGCACCCCACTTTTCTCCTGCTCCGTCAAGGACTCTCTGTTGTGTCCTTTTCTGGAATTATTTTGATGCTTTCTGTGTGGCACACGATTGGAATTGTGGCTTTGAAGACATGGCATTTTGTTACCAACATTAATTATTAAAGTAAGGCGAGTCTGTTCAGCTCCTGGTGTTTCCTGATAGCCAATCTAACAAGAACATCGATAACAAAATAACTTGACATGAAGGATTTAATATTTTTTTATCTTTTAATATATGTCATCTGTAAATAGTGACAATTGACATAAATTAATACTTTAAAAATCTGATTATATAGTGTTTTAGTTAAATACCTATTTCCAGAAAAATGCTGTATGGAAAGGGATTTAATAAGAAGTAATGTATGTTTGATTCCCAGCCAGTGCACCTCGCATGCAGCCATCACCCATCTGTCAGTAGAGGCTTCAGTGTTGCTATGATGCTGAACAGGTTTCAGCGGAGCTTCCAGGCTAAGGCAGACTAGGAAGAAAGGCCTGGCAATCTACTTCTGAAAATCAGCCAGTGAGCACTCATGGATCACGATGGTTCACTCTGTTGTGCATGGGGTCACCATGAATCGGGGGCCAACTTGATAGTAGCTAACAACAACAAACGTTCCAAGACATTATGGGTTAGGAGTAAAACTCTCTTCTCTGGACTTCTGTTATAGTTGGAATCCATCAAAGTTTAATATGTAACTGTTTTCTGAGTGTTTCATGTCTCTTGGTGTTGTCTCCCCAAATTGGCTATATGATCCTTTGGGGGCAGGATTATGTCTTGAACTTAAAGAAGAAAATCTTCCTGTTCCTGCCTCTTACACTTAATATAGGGGTAGGTATATTAGATTACTATATAGAGAAATAATTAACTGATGAATATTGTTCATAACTTTCATTGTCCTTAAATTTTCATCTTAACTTTTTAAGGGGAATTTTATAAGAGACCACTGGTACTCTCGGGAACCCAATCTTACGGGGTTCTTAGAGTCTCCTGTATAGATTTTTAAATATTTAAGAAAGTTGTTTTACTTCCTGGAAGTTACTGTCCGGCCAGGCTGGATTGTATTAAAGATCAGGTAGACACAGGGAAATTAAACATCTAGGGTAAATTGCTTAGGAAATACCTGCTTGATAAAAGTTGAATGCAGCGGTCATATGCGGATATCCACGTTGAATGCAGCGGTCGTATGCGAGTATTCACAAGGTCTAGGAAAGCAACATAGATGGTGAAGTAGATCAGTGTAACACAAGGGGGATCGTGATCACCTAAAACGTGCTTGCTGTGTCGAAAAGCATTTGCATTTAAATGTCCAAATAATGCGTATGGGTTAAGGTATGGGTTAAGCGGCTAATATGCTGGTTTTGGCCATTGTAATGTGCAGTTTCTGATTAAAAGTCGTCTCCAGTGGATGGTGGTCTAGCTTTCTGCAAGTGAATCTTTCTGTCCCCGTAGGCAAAAATAGATTTCAGTACTGGGAAATAATTTCAAGAAGGGAGAAAGCAAGAAACCCTCTTTCTTCTCTAGTCTGAAGAGAAGAACAAACTCTTGATTAACTTTATAATCTAGTATTTTAATATTCTTTTGTTGTGTGAACTCTGGGATATTGACATTTCTTTTTAAAGCCATGAACCAAGCCAGAATTAACATTTCATATTAATAGCTAAAGCAATCTAACTTTGTCAAAATAATTTACTCCTTTATGGTTGAAGGAAGATGTCCATAATACATGATCCTTTTTCATTTTTTTCAGTGAGAGTTTTTTTTTTGTTTTTCTTTTACTATAGATGCCCTAATAGAATCAAGTTTTTTAAAAATATTCCCACATTTATGATTAATTAATTGAAGTGGAGGGCCGTTGTTTCTCTACAAGAACTGACTTAAATTAGCTTAGTATATGAAACAAATAAAAATGAAACAACCAACTTACTGTTCAGTTTTCTATTTTAATTGTTTACCTTTAAAAGGCCTAGCGTGCCCCTCCCACATTGGAACCAATGTCCAGGGCCAAGTCGTGTTTAATTTATATTACTTTTATAGCAAACCGAAATAATGCCCCTTCTCCTTATTTTTAAGGAAAATATGGGTTACTCTGAATATTTCTGTCCTATGTTTTATAAAATTTACTCTCACTGTTAAGCATGAAATCTCTCTGTGACTTTGAATGAAAGTATCCTATCACATCTTTAATACTTACTCTGTTCGTAATTCTGGCTTTAGATTTTCAGAAGCTCTTAGCCACTTTCAGACAGCAAGAAATGTCATTAGTCGGCTCCTTGGAGTGTTAACTTGGCCCACAAGTAATGTGGTTATTGAAGAGACTCGGCCATCAAAAATAAGGGTAACTTTATTTCTGCAGCATTTCTTCCTAACTCTAGAAGCCCATCTGCATTAAACTAACTAAGGGATCAGAAGATAAAGAGGCACGAGTACTCGATCCCCAGGTCCCCCACATGCATTTCCCTTATTAAAGACTGACGAGAATCACTAATATTAACGAGTGTTTCCTATGTACCTTTCTGAATTTTTTTCTGAAATTTTTTTGTTTGTTTATTGTTGTAGTTTAAGTGAAAGTTTACATTTCAAGTTAGTCTCTTATACAAAAATTTATACATACATTGTTATATGACACTAATTGCTCTCCCTATACTGTGACAGCACACTTCTACTTTCTACCCCAGATTTCCCATGTCCATTCAACCAGCTCCTGACCCTCTCTGCCTTCTCATCTCACCTCTGGACAGAAGCTGCCCGTTTAGTCTCATGTATCTACTTGAGCTAAGAAGCACACTCTTCACGAGTATCATATATGTCACACAGTCCAGTCCAATCTTTGTCTGAAGAGTTGGCCTTGGAAATTGTTTCAGTTCTAAGCTGATAGAGAATCTGGGAGCCATGCTTTCCGAGGTTCGTCCAGTCTTAGACCATTAAGTCTAGTCTTTTTACTAGAATTTGAGTTCCAGGCAGGCACCTTTCAGGATAAACAGCTCGGAAGTGGTGGACCTTAGACTTGAATCTCGACATTCTGGCTCAGAGCATGTGTTCTGAAGTGTTATGTGTGTTGTTTGTACTTAGAGAAAAGCACAGCATCGCTGTTTGATCAGTTACTACAGTTAGTGAGACAGTACTTGAAGACCTGGAAAATAGGAATTTAATCTCATATCCGGGAGCATTTGCTAGTTCCGGAGAAAGTACATTATGTTTGAATTGACTGGGATGGGCCTTTTCTTGTAGTAAATCGTGGTGTGTACTTAGAATTTGCTTTTGATCAAAGCTTTTAAAAGCACAGAGGTCAGCCCTTACAACTCAACAATAAAAAAACAAGTAATCCAGTTAAAAAGTGGGCAACAGAACTGAGTAGATATTTCTGCAAAGAATATATACAAATAGACAATAAACACATGTAAAGATGCTCAACATCTTAGCTATGAGGGAAACACAAATCAGGATCGTTGGATTTTCCTGTCTTCATGCTAGGTTGAAATGGAGGCATAAACCAAAACCAAACCCGTTGCTGTCGAGTCGATTCCAACGCATACCAACCCTATATGAGAGCAGAACTGCCCCATAGGGTTTCCGAGGAGCGGCTGGTGGATTCAAACTCCCGACCTTTTGGTTAGCAGCTGAGCTCTTGACTACTGCCCCACTAGAGCTCCAGATGGAGGCATAGGGAGCTATTAATAATAAAAATTAAGCACTGGAAGCATAACATGAGGGGGCTTAAATGGCAACAGGCTAATTCCCCAGGTTGTGAACAAACACAGGTCCAGGGACTCAAAGAGACAGCTGAATGGGACTATTAGGATCCTAGGTGAAGTGACTTTGAAAAAAGAAGAGAATAGTAGAGTCCTCAGAGCTGTCCTCAGGGTCATTCTCACTTACTTGACTTTTTTCTAAATCTTTAAAGGAAGTTTCTAAGAACTATAAATTATAAAATGAGGTTTGATGATCATAGCGCTGGACATGATTTTGATTCTGACTCTAAAATCCTGAAAAAATGTTTTGTCCAATCCTTCCCTTTTTCCCCACCTCTCTCAACATGTGTTCATATTGGCGTCTTTTTAAAAGGACTTTTAAAGTTGTATGTAGTTTGTTCTTGGCTAAAAAAATTGAGTCATTCTTAAGCTGGAAATAGTGTGATGGCAAGAAGGCATCGAAATCACAAGCATTTTTATTAACTCATTAGTGTTACAATAATATCATTTATTTTTGTTTTAGGCACTGTTAGAAAGATTTATTGAAGAGTGCAAGTTCCCTCCAGTGCCAGAGGGCATTTGTTCCTATCACGATCACTGTGGATCTCTCAAAATCCAGATATACGTAACTGATCCAGACTTTAAGGTAACTAATGAACGTATAGTGGGACGTTGAATTGCAAGATCATGCCCTAATATGATCATGCCCTAGAATGAAAGCTGTAGATGGAGGCCCCCAGTTCTCTGGCTTACAAGCAGTTTTACATCCTCTTGTCCACTCCTTTCCCTGGACTGCTGTAGGTCTGCATCATCTAAAGAGTAAAGACCTTATTTATTCAAGAAGATAGTACCTGCCCACCATCCCACTCTCCCTGGTTTGTAGATCAGATGAAATCATGTTTATAAAATACTTGGTATGTTGTGAAGAATAATGCCGTTGTCAGCTGGGGACATGACTATATCACTCAAACTCTGTGTCCCTGGCACTGGACATTCTGGAGTCCAAAAGAGTTGTACTCCCCCAGGTGGAGATACAGTGTCTAGCTCTGCTGCCAGGTGAACACAGACAGCTCGCTCTCTTTATCTTAATACTCGTGTGTTGTGTGTGTGAAGACATCCTTAAAGTGTGAATAAAAATCTTTTGAAACCCCAGGGCTTTATACGAATCCTCTGTAGCCAAATCTGTAAGATTGAATTTCACGTTAACTGTTGGAAGAAGTTAAAAGCAACAAGCTACGGTGATAAACATGACAAGGTAAGACGTAATGTTGTCTGGATGTTTTTAGTGCACTTACTACATGTCGACTTCCCCCGCCCCCAAGAATCTTCAGAAGAAGAGTCTTAAGGGATTATAAATTTCTTCCTGAGCATTTTAGACATATTTAGAAAGTTTTAAATTAAAACTTAATACGAAAGTGGGAAATGAATTTTGGTGTTTATTTTATACAGTTATAAAGGTGGAGTACCCATAGAGTCATTTAATAAATTGTTTATTGTTTAACCGTCTTTTGTATTGAGTATGTTACGATTGAAAAGAAAAATTTAAATGTCTGATTTTAGAATATAGATCTTAAATTATGCGCTGATAATTTGAGTCCGTCTTTCATGTAATTACTCTAAAGTTTTGATGCAGACTTAGAGTCTCAAAATTGATGTGGTGATTTGAGCTAAGAAATCAGCTTAAATTTTGTGTTGCTGCTTCCCATTGAGGTTTCTGTTAATTACCAGGATGGATGTTGATTACCATTAGCTATATATACCTTGAGAGAAGGCACAATTTTATAATATTTGCATTTATAGAATTTTCTTTTCTGTGTAAGCTATGGGCTGTGGCACAGAAAATCTTTTTCTACATTGCAAAGGTTCATGTAGACCACTGCGTCTGTTGGAGTGAAAAATAAGGCAGTTGTTCAGGATCTCTGCTAGCGATAGGAATTATTCAAGTTTGGTAGAAATAAATCCTTATATTTTCATATAGTTAACTGGTGATAGGACCAAATTACTGTTGCCATTGAGTCACTACTGGTGTGTCTTTGTCTTACCTAAAATGAATTTCTTTAGCTGAACACACTCTCCCTTAGTGGTCTCATCAATGGTTTTCAAATACCCTCTGTAAATCAGTCGGAGCCCTGGTGGCGCAGTGGTTAAGCGTTAATGGCTGCTAACCAAAAGGTTGGCGGTTTGAATCCACCAGCCGCTCCTTGAAAACCCTATGAGGCAGTTACTCTTTCCTGTAGGGTCACTATGAGTCAGAACTGACTCGATGACAATGGGTTTGATTTGGGTTTTGGTAATTAGTCAGCTTTTGCTAGGATAGACTGAAGTAATACCCAGCCTAGATACCTTCGTGGTTTATGAGAAGAAAAGCTCATTTCCTGCTTATATTAACCTGTCCTGCAGTTGGGCAGTTGTTGACTGTGTTTGGGCTATAGCAGCTCTATTCTCTGGGGCTCTGTTCTTTGTTTCTAAATCACGGTTGAAGAGTGGCCCTTATGTGGAACGTGTTCTTGTGGCAGGAAGAGCAGTGGCCAGTCCATGCAGTGTTTCTTAAAGGGTTTACTTAGACGTGGTGTACGTCGTGTCTGCCCATTTCACACTGGCCAAAGCAGATCACAGGGTCAGCCCTACACTAGAAGTGTACTCCCCCTACGGGGAGGCTCTGAAGGTCACATAGCAATCAGCAGGGACCTCTGTTGTCTTCCTGAAGGAGGTTTTAGATCATGCTTTGACGGTTCTTGATGGTTAAAATGATATGCATGTATATAGCTGTATCCCCCGAGACATACATTCTTCTTTTTTCCCCAAACCATACAGGACTTTCTAAATGCAAGTTGCCTTACCCCTGACTGCCAAGGTGTCATCTGTAGGATTACCGTCTTCAACAGTAAAGGTGGTGTTAAATGTGAAGTAAGTATCTAGTAAGAGGGAAATCGTACTAAATTGATAACTAAAATGTTTATAGCTTTTAAAACATGATTTAAATTTGTGGAAGTCGTGTGGTGTGGCTCTTGTCTTTTCCCAGAAAAGAAATAGTTACTGAATTTAAGAAAATACAGGAAATAATAAGATAAAAGAATGCTTTGCTGAAATGAAACCCTCTCACTTTCTTTTATTTCCTAGTAGGAGAAGGAGGCTTTTTACATTTTCGTTTCATTGTGTTTACTCTTTTTTAATAACTTTGTTTTCTTACTCCCTGGTAAACTTTTGGGTACAGTGGAGGGTGTGGATTCTTAGGAGAGGGAAGAGTGTCATGAGGGATTACGTTCATTATGTGGGACTGGCGGAAGTGGGTAGTTGTAATGATACTTGTATCCGATCTTCTGCATAGTCTTAATTATTTTTATTTTTTGCCCCTTCCTGAAGTGTGTCTGCTCTCTTATTCCTCTTCTCAGTAAATTGTTTTGCTAAAGTTTTCTGGGCTCTTTTGTCTGGGTCAGAATGTCGTCACTGTTCTCTTTCAAACTGAACATTATGTGTGCTTCTGAAATACTTGTTACTTGTGATTTTGTGCTTTATGTCATGGGAGTATGAGACAACTTTTGGATGTCTTTGTTTTATTTAAAGTTTGAACACAAGGTCATAAAAGAAAAGGTTCCTCCAAGACCTATTCTGAAACAGAAATGTTCTAGGTAAGATTTTTAACAATCAGTTTCATGATGCCTCTTAGAGTATAGTTCATTAAATGCAGGTTTTTAAATTATGCTGCTTTTTAAATTGGCTTTGCGCACATACATGTATACATATGTCCAAAAAGTGGTTTTTAAATGAATTTTATGGGTTTTTAACTAATCTAGAATTGTTAAATACTCAAAACTTGAATCGGAAGCATTATTTGGTGGTTGAATTTGTAAGTAAAATTGTGACATTTAATGCTGTGAAGTTACATGTTTGATGAACAGATTTGATGTCTAGCTAAAAATTATATACAGGCAGTTTCCAGGTTACGAACCTCCAACTTAAGGACAACTTGTACTTGCCCTTTAATATTATATGAATTTGCTATTACTTTCAAATGAGTGAACCAGCTCCTACCCTACTCACAACCAATTCTTCATCACAGTCACCTTCACTTGCTGCACATACAACTTCGAAATCATTCGCAAGGCTTCCAGTCTTTTCTTACACTAAAACCAAAAAACGAAACCCGTTGCCACTGAGTTGATTCTGACTCATAGTGATCCTGTAGGACAGAGTGGAACTGCCCCCGTAGCGTTTCCAAGGAGCAGCTGGTGGATTCGAACTGCTGACCTTCGAGTTATCAGCCAGCACTCTTAACCACTACACCGCCAGGGCTCTGGTTCTTGTGCTAAAGTAAGGCTAAATAAGAACCGTATGCACCGGTTCTGACGTACCTGCAATATCAACTTAAAGACAGTTAGGAACATCTCCTTCGTAACCCGGGGGCTGCCTGTACGTAACTCAGTTGTTTAATTTCAAAAGCTTTTTTTCTCTTTATCTCTTTTCAGCAGCCATTTTGAATCAATGACCATTTCTTACTTTTGAAATACTCGGTGGAAATTATTTTCCTTTTTGTATTTTCTTGTTCAGATCAAATAATTCCAATCCATTTTTCTTTTGTTTTTGGTCCTGCTTTTGTTTTTTGTTCTAAGAGGTGATTTCTTTCTTTCTTTTTTTATTATTTGTAACCAAGAAAAAGCAAAAGAAAAGATGAGCAGAATTATTTGTTGAAGAGAATTCATCATAATCAGATCAACCAAATTCTGATGTGCTGAGCCATTTACTGGGATATGAAAATAATATTTTACTGTGAGATTGTTCTTTGAAATGAGCACTTACACATATTATCTTTCAGAGAAACTTGCACTATTCTTGTTTACATTAAGCAATAACTTATATACGTGGAAATAACATCTATACAGTCTATATATGCCATATCTAGTTAGAAGTCACTCAGTAATTGAGGTTCTTGTTGTGATGAAACAAATGCCCTTATTTTGCCTGAGTTGACCGACTGTGTCAACTGTTGTTGGTATTGAACAGAAGATGCAGGCCAAGTTGTAAGTAAAAAGGAGAACTTCTAACCTACTACTTGGAGAGTGGTTTCTACAATAGGCAAAGAAGAATAGTTTATTGAGCTTACGACAAAGGTGAATTATCACTAATCATAAATGTTTATCAGCCTAGAGAAGCTAAAAGAGAAAGAAGAGAAAAAATTGAAGAGAAAGATCCAAAAAGAAGAAGCAAAAAAATTAGCAAAAGAAAGACTGGAAGAGGACTTAAGAGAAAGTAATCCACCCCAAAATGAAGAGAAGAAAGGTATGCAGAATTTCAAGGCATTATAAGAATAATGTGCTCTTGTTTAGAAGTATAGATCCAAACATTCACATAAATATTGGCATATCTGATTGGGCATTATATTAATTGATACTGAATTGAAATGTAGATTTAGTTTAGCTTTTAAATACTCTCAATGTGTTTTATTACTCTCAGACAATGAGAAGGTTGGTGTAAAGAGTACTGTTTTGGAAGCAATACTCAGGGATTCAAAATACTGCCCTGCCGCTAACTCTGGGCAAAGCTTTGCCTCAGTTTCCTCATCTCTGACATGAAGGTGGAAATAATACTACCCGACCTGCTTATTGTGTGTTTGAAGTGCACTCTGCTATACATGGGTTTAAGTTTCAAATTCTCAAACAGTAAGTTAGTTACAGATTGTTTGGAATAACGCTGAGTTCAAATAAAAAGGCAGTTGAGAAAAGGTACTGTAGAGATTGCCCAGTCCAGCTCTCTGTTTTAAGCTCATCTTGCCATCATGCCCTGATCAACACGGAATGTCTCACTGGTAATTTTACTTATTCCTGTGTATGTAATGGTTGGTGTGTTTGCTTTCAGGCTTGAGTCGAAGTAAGTTTTCCTCATTTTCTATGGTTATTGTTATTTTTCCAAAATGAAATATTTTACTGCTTGCTGTCTTTATTTTTCATGTAGTATTCCATTAATGTTGAACAAATCAATCAAACCGATCTTTCCCACTGAATAATTTTTCAGTAAATATTTGTGTTTTAACTTTTCATACTTACTGACTAAACATGTTGACTATAAGCCTTAAGTAGTTGATGAGGCTGGGTTAGGAGTGTTGAAGGAAGTGACTTTATTTTAGAGGAGCTAAGGTTTTAGATGTTACATGATCAGCACAGAGTGGAGGACATAAGGCATTTACTTTTAAATGGTTTGGCTTCGTGTGAACTTTCATATTTTTTCAAAGGCATTTTTAAGTCTTTCATATTTCTTATTAAAAATTCCTGCGAAACATACAGAATGGTGTAACCGAGTCATATTTCATATTATTATGTGACGTACATTATTTCTAAGTTTACTTCTTTGCACATTGGGTCTCTTTGTCCCTTTCACTGACCACTGCTATTTATCCTCCGCAGCTGTAGAAAATGCTCAGGCTTGCCAGTTCTTTGATGACAGAATTCTACAGTGCATAAAGCAGTACTCGGAGAATATCAAATCCGGTATTCTCAATACTTCCACGCTTATGAAGGAATTGCTTTCTTGGAAAGTTTTAAGTGTAGAAGACTATACAACATGTTTTTCTAGCAGGAATTTTCTGAGCGAAGCAGTGGACTTTGTCATTCAACACTTGATTAAAGAAAATAATAGAGTAAAGACAAGAATATTTCTTCATGTTTTGAATGAGCACAAGGAAATAGAGCCCAAAGTAGCCTCCTGGATCGAGAAACTCAATGGCTTTGGTATGTCTCTTTATTCTGGAGACGGGTGGTTAGCAGAAACGATGAATATAGGCCTCTGGAGCCTTTTTCATTTTCCTGTTTTTGGAGTCCCTGCGTGGTACAAATGGTTAACAAGCTCAGCTGCTAAACCAAAGGGTTGGAGGTTCAAAGAGTCCACCCAGAGGGGCCTTGGAAGAAAGGGCTGGCCATCTGCTTCCAAAAACTCAGCCATTGAAAGTCCTGTGGAACACATTTCTACTCTGGCACACATGGGGCCACCATGAGTTTGGAATCAACTCAACGGCAACTGGAAAAAAAATCCTATCATTTTATGATTTTTTAAATGCAATATGGTTAAAAATACTGTTTCCTCCCCACTCACAATTTTTAGGTTATATGATATACATACTTCAGTATACTTTTTCAAAAAGTGTAAACGTAAGGAAGTTCAGTCAGTAAGAAAATCCGGAGCTGTATTATGCTAACCTCTATGTAGATGTATAAACTGTGAATATTTTAGGCAGTCTTTTGTAAAGTGCGCCTCTTGGAGTTTGCTTGCTCTGTGGTGCCCTTTGTTTAGAGAGAAAAAGAATCTAAAATTCAAATTCTTAATGAAAATTTGAGAGCAGAGAGTGGATGGGACCAACTGGTTAGCATCACCCAAGGCAAATCTGTGTGTAAGGATTAAGAGAAAAATACCCCAGGTTTGACCTAGGCTTGTGAATCACCGGATTATGAAACTCTGTTATTCTGATCTGACTTTTCTGTTTTGACTGGGAGAAGGGAAGGCTGAGGAAGACCTCCTAGCAGGCACTTTGCAGAAGGCTGCACAGGGACTGCAGAAGGCAGCCCCAGAGAGAGCCTTTGGCTGTCACTAGCCTCACTCTCTCTGGGCACCTACCAGGGCCCTGATTATCTCGGTGACCATGTGAGCAACTGGCCTAGTTCAGTGAACAGCTTTGTGGGCAGCTGGCAGACACGAGGCTAAAGGGAAAACAGCAGGAGCAGGCCTTTACAGCAGCATCCCAGAGACTGGGCCTGCCAAGCCTGTGAGAGCCAGCTCCTCCTGCCTGAGATTTTATAGACATAGGGACTATTCGAATTCTAGGGCTTCAGAGGATATATTTGTAAATTTTTGTCCATAGAGGAAAAGGTAAGATGGCAGCAAGCTTGGTATAGATAATTAAATGTTCCTGCTTTGAGCATAGGTCTCCATGGGCTTGTGGTCCCAGAAAATTACTCTTAAGCCATAAACTTGTCACTGTAATCTGTTAACAAAAAGATAAGTAAGTAATAAAGTTATCTTTTACTTCAATCTCTTTTGGAAGAAAGCCTGGAGGAGGAGGAGGAGGAGGCTCGTCTGGGTTATGCTACTTGGGCAAGAGTGCCACCTAGTGTTCATTCCAGTAAACTGCAGTATTTTAGCCATACAACTCCCCAACAGAAAAATATGTATCTGTCCTATTGATATAATTCATGTTTACTCTGAAAAGTAAAGGTGTCAGTTTAATAAGTATGTAGGGGTACTATTTAAAGTTGAAATTTCTATTTAAAAGTTGTAAAATGAATCCAGGCATTTTAATTAATAGGCTTTACTGTAGCCCAATGTAAAGTTCACCTTATTACCCGACGCCATGGAGTCAATTCCGATTCATAGCTACCCTAGAGGACAGCGTAGAACTGCCCCCGTAGGATTTCCAAAACTGTAATCTTTGTGGAAGCAAATTGTCATGTCTTTCTCCCGCAGAGCCGCTTCTGGGGGTGAACCACCGACCTTTCAGTTACCAGCCAAGCCCTGTGTCACCACCAGGGTTCCTGCTTTTTATTAAAAGCAAGCAATTTCCAATTCCTGGAATTTTACTTCCTTCTCACAAAAAATCTATCCAGTGGAGTCACATCATATACAAATTCAGCATCAAGCCCAAGCCCATTGCCGTCGAGTCATTTCTGACTCATAGCAACACTTTAGGATAGAGTAGAACTTGCCCCGCAGGGTTTCCCAGGAGTGCCTGGTGGATCTGAACTGCTGGCCTTTTGGATAGCAGCCATAGCACTTAACCACTACACTACCAGGGTTTCCAAATTCAGCATGAGAGAGGTCAGTTTACATGCTCAGCAAAAGAAAAAAGACAACTAGCATGAGCACAAATGGAAAAAATGTACATTTCAGCGGAGGGTGTGATCTGTCATCCTTCCCCTGACCTGGCACATGTTCTCACGTGACCCTCGTTGTTAATAGTTGCCATGGAGTTGATTCCAAGTGTGTTACAGAGTAGAACTGCTCCATAGGGTGTTCTTGGCTGTAACCTTTACAGAAGCAGATTGCCAGACCTGTCTTCCATGATACTGCTTAGTGGGTTCGAACCTCTAACCTATAGGTTAGCAGTTGAGCACAACCATTGGTGCTACCCAGGGACCTGATGTGAGCCTTAGATGGGAGATACGAATATGATATTTCTTCATCAGTGGTTCCCGAAAACCATCATTGTAGTTAATGAGTATTTTATGTGATGATTCGGTGTTCAAAGATACTAACCTTCATGCAACATGACCTCTAAGTATAAGCTAATGATTTTGTCTGGAAGAAACAGCAGTCCAAGGTAATTTTGACTCTGAGCAGTCTCTGCTTCACTCGCTGACTTTAATGCTAAGGCCCATGGAAGAGGTGGCCGTGCTGTGTTAGAGGCGTGATGGAGTCATTGAGTAGAGCCCATCTTTGCCTTTTGGTGACTGTGTTAGTAGGAGTAGGAGTTCACCAGCCTTTCATCAGTAGTGTATGAGGTTGTAGCCACCTCCTTTTTTGATTTGGAGAAGCAGGCATAGTGATGCCGTGATTTTTACAGAGGAGGGTAAGGGGCAGTTGGTGGCAGGGGAGGGACTTGCCTGTCCCCTGTATTAATGGCCTGCTTTTAAAGCTTTGACGTATTTTGTTACTATAGAATATATGTGGAAAACATCGTAAACTTTTCCTAGTTTGTACTAATTGGAGTGAAACTCATTATGAATTAGGGAAAAAGTTATTGTTATAGAGTATTTTTAAAGGATGTCCCTAGGTGGCGCAAACGGTTTGTGCTCATCTGCTAACCTAAAAGTTGGTGATTCGAACCCACCCAGCGGTACTGTGGAAGAAAGGGCCTGGCAATCTGCTTCTGTTAAGATTACAGCCAAGAAAACCCTAGGGAGCACAGTTCTACTCTGTAACACACATGGAATCGCCATGAGCCGGAATGACTGGATGGCAGCTAACAACGACATTATTAAAGGAGTTTAATGCACTACTTTCATCTCTTAAGTCTAATAAAGAGAACTGTAGTGATAGTCTTATTCAGTTAATAGATAAGACTTAATTGTAATTAGCATATCAGTATTAAATTGTGTTTATAAAATGCATAACAGCTTGAACAAGTTTGTTCCAAGTATTTAAATATTTTTCCTGAAAATGTAAGCCGACTATAATGGAACTGCTTTTAAAAGTTGTGACACTGAATGTGATTTTATAGTAAATAATTTTTCTCTTCTTCTGACTTGGGTTTTGTTTTTATTACAGGTTTAACTGCCGCAGGATCTTTTCTTACTCGTCATGAGGCATCTCTTAAGGACCTTGATTTTACCATTTTGAGTATTCTCTGGAATGAGAAATACGGTCACAAACTAGGCTCTATAGAGGGAAAGAAACTTGAATATTTCTATGAGCCGACATCACTGAAGGAAGCACGTTGCTTAATATGGCTGCTAGAAGACCACAGAGAGAAGTTTCCAGCAATGCATAGCGCTTTAGATGAATTCTTTGATCTATTAGGTACGTGGACCAAGTTTAGATTTATTTATATCTAGTCTTAGAAAAAAGTGTTTGAAGGACTTAGTTTATTTAAATACTTAATAAGGAAAATAGTAAAAAATTAGTTATACAGTTGGCTTATTTAGGGGAAAAAGTTAGTGGTTGAGAATAGTGATTTTTTGATGTGAAGCTTGTTTTACTGTGTAAAGCTCTAAGTTTTGTAGAGATGTTCAGATGGGTACATTCCAGTAACCACACACCATACTTTTACCATCTTAGATGTTCAGAGTGATGGCAAAGATTGCATTTTAAATGGATGGCGTTTATTAGCGATGGATAAATTTTTAGCTTTCAGGAAAACATTGGAATGTGGAAGGAGGTGGTGCTTGCAGAATCTAGAACAGATTACATTTGTTTTAGGGGGAATATTATAGCACAAGGAGTCAGGAAAAGTAGGCTGTGGTTCAGTCTTGCCAAATTCAACTCATTAAAAACTTTGCATGTAGTCCTACTGCTTCAGGGCCCTCTGTAGGTGTTAACAAGGAATTCAGAAAAGCTTAAGATAGTCCTCAAGGAGCTTGTTTCTAGAAAAGGGAACAAGATGAGTGCACAAATAATTGTAATATGGTGGTAACCTCAAGAGGAAAGGACAGAGAAAGTGCTGAGTAAGGGGTTCAGAGGAAGAATGGAGCCCTGGGCACTCTTCCTGTGGGAGGGGAGGGCCTTGCTGCAGGGCTAGAGGGTGAGATGGGTGTGAACATTGAGTGGAATTGAACAGGTGGATGTCGGGGAATAAAGAGGTCGGGTGGAGGGGAGTCATGGGGGCACACTGGAGAAATGGCATGGAGTCCAGTTTGGTGGAGAATAGGATACCAAAAAAAAAACCCAAACCTGCTGCCATCAAGTCAATTCTGACTCATGGTAACCCCCTTTGTTACAGAACAGAACTGCTCCATAGGGTTTTCTTGGATAACTAGCAGTTAATTCCTTAGTGTCTTTTAATTTTAGTTTCCTCATCATTAAAATGAGAGGATTTTGACCAAATAATCCTTTGGCCTCAAAATTCTAATATTATTAGATTCTAAATTAATTTTAATTTCTTATATTTGGTACTACATCTATGTTTTATGATAACCCTTCCCCCTACCTCTTTCCCTCAGCATCAGAAGTCAGCTTTACTATTATCAGAAGTTAGACTTTAAAATTTTATGCTCCTTGTTTTAAAAGGTACATTAAAAGGTCCAAAAGTGTCACCCATTATAAACTTGAAGTGCAGTGTAAGGGACTGACAGTGACAAGCTTAGTAATGTTGTGGTTCTCAGGAAAGAGCACACTCAACTATAGATGGCTTTATTTTTCCAGGATTCTGCTCCATGACTGGAAGGTGGCACACTACCTGGTAGCCTGACTTTATTGCCATCAGTTTGCAGCTGCTGGTAATAAAATGCTGTTCTGGGATGAGCTTACAATACCCGATGCATGCTGGGATCACACAGCGGGAGAACTAAAAAGGACACAGTTTGCTCTGAGTGTGCATTCTGCCTGATACTGGTGCTCTATGCCTAAAGCACACAGTCCATCAGCTGTGACTGTTTCTCTGCTCTTAGTCATAGAGCTGGAAGCCACCAACCCAATGACTGCCAGCACTGCAGGTTTTCAAGTCCAGTAGTGCACCTCCAAGCCCTGCTTTCCACCCTCACCCCAGATGTCTCAATTTTGTCTTTTCATTTAAAAGAAGGATTATATTTCTTAATGCTTTTCGGAATCCACTGATTTTATAAATAGGGGTGTTCAGTAATGTCATCAGTGCTATGAAAATTGGGAGCCTGACCTCCCTTCTGAACTCTGGGTGCCTATTTCCCTACTGACATTTCTGTGTTGCAGCCAGCAGGCCCCTTAAACACAGCATGGCTAAACCCACTTAATCAGAAACCTGTTTTTCCTCAATTCGTCTTCTTTAATACCGTCTTTGTATATCTAGCTTTTAATAGGAAACCCTGAAGTTAATCTTGATTCCTTTTTCCTGCTATACCAATCTGCACCTATCTAGTTTGCCACCAGTCCAAGTAAGCTTTGTCTTTGATTTGTCCTTTTCTGTCCATCTCGACTGCTGTAGGCTAGAACCTTCTTTCCATGATTAGACTATTGCAGTAGCCTCCAGACTGGCCTCCATGCCTCTAGACCATCCCACTCCAAATCTTTGTCCTCTATTGCTACTATAAGTTCTTCTAGAACATCTGTCTGATCCTCTGACTACTCTTGGGGAAATGTTTTCTTAGCTTTGCCAACACGATAAATTCACCAGGTTCATCTCTCCAGGTTCATTATCAATCACTCTCTCCCATCTACACTCTAGGTATATACCCTACTTCTTCTGCGCCTAAGCCTGCCTGTGCATCCTGCCTCCTGCCTTTGCTCATGCAGTTCCTCCAGACCCTGCCCACTCTCCTTGCTCATTTCAAGTCAAACTCCCATGTCCTCTCCTGCCCAAGGTCCTCCCTGACCCCTCCTTGGGCCTTTTGCCCTTGAAGATTTTATTACTCTTTCATCGTCCTTCCCATTGTGTTTTACTGTGGCACGTAGCACCCAGAGTTGTAGCTGTTTGCCTGTTTGTCTTTTGTCTGTTTTATGCATCTCTGTATTCCCAGCGCCTAGCATAGAGTTTGGCACATAGAAAATGCTCAAATTATGCTAAATTGGATTGGAATTTTTTGGTTTTCTGTGGTTGGTTTCCCATTTAGTTACCCATCCTCCCATTCTTCCTTGGTTTCTAAATTAAGCATGTGTCAAAGCCAAATTAAGAGTAGAACACATTCTATGTTAGTAGTATCTGGGGTAGTTTTCTTGAAGGCTCTGGTGTATTGTATGGCCATGTGAATATTTTGTTTCCTCATGAAATCCTCGGTATCTTTCTACAGACAGCAGCTGCACTGTGCTAAGGAAACAGGACAATAATGACTCAATGGTAAGTGATCTGATCAATTCCAAAACCAAAAAAAATGGTTGCCATTGAGTCAATTCTGACTCATAGTGACCCTGTAGGACAGAGTAGAACTGCCCCAAAGGGTTTCAAGGAGTGGCTGGTGGATTTGAACTGCTGACCTTTTGGTTAGCAGCCCTAGGCCTTAACCATTGTGCCACCAGGGCTTGAAGGTCAATTCCAGTGCTGTGTTAAATGCTAAGGGAAGAAAGGAGGACCCACACCAGTGTTTGTTTACATCACATTCCAGAGCCAAACTCGGAGGACTTCTGGATAATGTTTACTGTTTGACTAGAAAGTTTAATCCCAGCCTTCTTGGAATTGGCCCAATAATCACCCAATTCTGAGGCTTAAATTAGAACAATGCCCATAAACTCTCAAAATAAATGTTAGTGTTAAAAATAGGAAAGGAAGAGTTCTTGAGTTCTGGTATACAACTGAAAAGTTATCTTCAATGATTAAAATGTTAATGTTTTGTTCTGTAAGGAAAACAAAGGGACTTTGTTTTGAGCGGCTCCAAATTGAGTTGAAGTTAAAACAATCCCAGAAGTGTTTTTCATTGTAAATTGTCGTTGGCCTTTATCCTTTCTGGCAGTTCGGGAATTCTTCATTTTAGAAAAGTGATTAAATTGAGAAAAGAAAGGCATTGTGGCAGTTTTCAAAGAGAAAGACAGTTGTTTGCTGATTTTCAGGATCAAGTTATCTCAATTGAAGTTTTATCTTAATCTCCTTTACCTCATATTGCCCCTATAACTATGGAAGCACAGCTAGCATCTCTGTGGGAAGGTAGATGCTTCTAAATTCACTATTAACTGCCCCAGTGTCTCGCCAGGTGCAGAATGCCCAGTAAAAGGAGTATTGTAAAAAATGTGTGTAATCAGAATTACTTTAAAAATCTGATTAATTACTTGAAATAACATCAGCACTGCTGAAAATAAGTTTAAAATTTTGGAACAGTTCAATTTGAGTTATAACATTACACATCATTAGACTTTTTCTTATTTTCTATTATAAATCATAATGCTTGGGCTGAAACATTGTGATGTTATTTTTATTAAAACATTTTATGTACTTCTAACTTAGGACTAGTCTCTGGAAATCAGTATGATTTCTTTATATTGAGCTTCAAAATGCTGTTGTTTGAATTTTCATTGATAATTGTTTTCTCTATTTTTCAGTATGTTACTCCAAAGGCGAAACACAAAGGCAAGAAAAAGAAGCCAAAAGATCTAAAGGTATGAAGTATTTTCTATATTAATTCTTGTCCAGACTGGCCAAAAAAAATAATTGGCTATGCAAATTAGAATTAACCAATCCTTGGGATGTTTTGAAGCATTTTGTAGAGAAAATTTCTAGGCTTTATCCTACAGGTATTTTGGCAGCCTTTTACATTTTTTAAGGGAATTTAAGGTTCATATAATATGTAAATAACTCTTGAAAGAGACTTATTCTTTGTTGGCCTTTTTATTTTCTAGGTATTTCCCAGTGAAAACATGACCATAATGTAGGATTCTGTGTGGGTGGTCATAGAGCAGAGTGGCCAAGAAGGCTTTGGTGTCAGGCAGACCTGGGCTCATAACCTGATTCTACAAGTTACTAACTGCGCCAGTTATTTGACTCTGCTGTGCCCTGGTGTTCTCACCTGTATAACAGGAGTAATATTGATACCTATTATTAATAACTCATAACGTTATTGTGCTTAGGTACTCTGAAACACATGGTTAGAATAGCCTGGATGGCAGCTAGGTTGGTTTTTATTATCACTGTTACTAAACTGAATTTTATAGGGAAAGAAAGCAGAATAATAGTTTCTAGTATTCAGAAAGCTTTTGTTGGGATTATTTCTATTGTTCAAATGTTTATTATCTAAAGTATTCAAAATAAAATAAATAATAATTATCATAGCAGAATCTTGGAATTGATTTTTTCCTCTCCCCTGAGGCTCTACTCCAAGCCCCTGAGTTAACTAGAGCATCGTTTTTAAGTTTCATGGTGGGTTCTTCATTGCTCGTTGGGGGGCGGGGGAGGGGGGCTGGTCATTAGGGGAACCTGAGTAAGAGAGAGGGAGCAAGTATTAGAGAAAGATGACCGCAGTTTATAAATTCCAATAAAAGTTATCTTTCATTTTTCATTATTGACTGTATGTCTTTAGCCATAAAGTGAGAGTTTGGTCCAAGTGACATTTAAATTGTTCTTGGAGTATTGGAAACCACCCTAAATATTAATTTGGGCCTTTTAATGGTTGCTGACAATGGCACCCAGTAACATTAAATGATTGTTGAAACCTATATTACTGTGTGTTCCTGTTCATGAGAAAATTTACATAGGTCTTACATATTGGAGGAGCCCTGGTGGTGCAGTGGTTAAGAGTTCGGCTGCTAGCCAAAAGGTCAGCAGTTCAAGTCTACCATCTGCTCCTTGGAGACCCTGTGGGGCAGTTCTACTCTGTCCTATAGGGTTGCTATGAGTCAGATTTGACTCGACGGCAACATATTTGATTTTTTTTTTTTAATTGGGGAATTTACATGTGTAATTATATAGACATTCATCAGTTTTAATGGTAATTTTTTTTTTTTCATGAAATTTTAAGGTAGAAAATCACTGTCATTTTTCTATCTTTTAAACCAGCCTATGTTAGTTGGGTCTGGAACGCCTTCAGTAATACCAAGTGTTAAAAGTGAGACTGTCACTTCAGGCAGTAAGAATAAGTAAGTACAGTTTTTTAATTTTTGTGTCATTTAAATCAAGGGTTTTAATATAATAAGTGGCATTAATTTAATATACTTTGAACTTGAGTTTCGTTTCCCTAACTCCCGTGTCTAAAGATGCGCATCTTTTATGACAACCTGATGTGCCCCATCTCGGTTGAATTTATAACGTGGCTTATAGGTGTTAAGAATTCATACAAACTGTTGTGAAGTCACAAGGCTGATGCTATCCTTTCAGTAAGTACATATTGAGACCCTACTATATGCAGGGCACGGTGGGAAAATCCTACGAAAATGTCTAGAAAATACTGAAATGTTCAATGAGGGACTACTGTGTGAGCAATTACTAGCGTATTTGCTGTAATAGGAGAGAGGAGGTGTTGTGGAGGCTGTATGTGTATGATGTTGCAGTTTCGCCTTAGATGTTGGTGATCTTCAGCGGCAGCTGGTGGTTGAAACTGAGTTTTCAAGAACCAAATAGACATAAAGAAAAATAAAACTAGCGAGGAGTGGTGATCTTTTTATATTTTCCTTTATGACCAAAAAGCTGCAACGTACTTTTTCTCATATTTCTTAAAACTTAGTCATTTTCATGAATTCTTTAAGTCTGGGAGTTGTGTAGAGTTAAAATAATACTATGTTATATTTAGATAATACTTATGTACCAGGCACTATTGAAAGGCTTTACAGATATGAACTCATTTAATCCACCCATCCACCCGAGGAGATAATTACCCTAAGAGATAAAGTCCATTTTACAGATAAGGCACAGAGTGGTTGCATAACTTGCCCAAGACCACAAATCTCCTAAGATAGCAGAGCCAGGATTCAAACCAGGCAGTCTGGTTTTAGAGCCCACACTCAAGCTACTACATCTTTTTAGAGTGGTAGAACCTTACTCTTTTTCTTATTTTTTAAGTCTTTTTATTAAGCACCTTTTACCAGTCTCAGTCTTCCTTTAATTTAAATTAATAGCAGTTATAATAAAATCTTAAGTTTTTTCTCTAGTAAGTTTAATTAATGCAACACATCAGTTTTTAAAACCAGGAGTTTTGTAAAAATTTGCTCTTGGTAGGGAGAATACGGAGTTAAACTTAGAATGTCAGGTATGATTTCTCTTGATTGTGGAAGGGTAACTTTTTTGCGTTAAGTCGTATGGTAGGTTTTTTGTTTTGTTTTTGCATTATAATGCTGAATAATAGTTACCATCTTTGTGGGGTTTTTTTTTATTTATTTTTTTCAGTTTAAGTATTCTTCTGGTTCACGCAGAAGCTTGTTACTCACAAAGTGATGCTTTTCATCGACAGAGGCAGTTCGCATTCCTCAGGCCCCTTTGCGGTGCCTGAGCATCTTCGGAAAGACATAGAAGAATTTGAAGCTTACTATAAAAAACGGCAACAGCGAAATAACGAATATGATAGCCAGAATAAGAAGATGGGCGAAGCGAACCCAAAGCAGAAATGTTCAACTCTGTATGAGTAAGTAGTTTAACATTCCTACAATCATTATTTTATACTGCGGCTTCCAGTTAAGCATGTGAAGTTGCTTAATTTGTGTCCCTTATGTTTATTAAGGGAGCCCTAGTGGTGCAGTGGTTAAGAGCTCAGCACTAACCAAAAGATCGGCAGTTCAAATCCACCAGCTGCTCCTTAGAAACTCTATGGGGCAGTTCTACTCTGTCCTGTAGGTTGCGATGAGTCCAGTTGACTTGACGATGAGAAGTTTGGGGTTTTTTTTATATTTATTAAAGGAATCAGTTATTGACTCACAACCCCTAGCGAAAAAATAAACAGGGTTGAAGCCCTGGTTTGAGCTGTTAATATAGATACCTTCTACTTCTAAAACTGTCCTGGTACACTGGAAGTCCTGGGTAGAAAGGAGGAGTGTGCTGTCACATTATAGGGAGAGCAACTAGGGTCACATAACAGGGTGTGTATAAATTTTTATATGAGAAACTAAGTTGAAAAGTAAACTTTTACTTAAAGCATGGTAGAAAAAAAAACAAAAAACTGTCCTGGTATGTCTTGTTAGGACTGATAAACAATAAAGTTTCCAGCCATGATCTTTTTATCATGAATTCTCAGGTGTACATTTGCCGAGGAGTAAAATGGTTCTTTGATCTTGCAGTCCTTATGATGCTCGGTGCAATTGTTTGGAATCTCATAATTCCAGTAATAAATAATAAGCTTAGTGAACTATTATCCTTGAACTGGTACTGGGGAAAGGATACCAGGAAACCATTATTCCTTCAGCTGGGATGATAGTACAGCTGTAAAACCCCATACTCTGCATTATATTAGAGACTTGACTTCCTGACATTAATCTAATGGAAGGGAAACATATGTTTCTTTTTAAGTAACTTTGGATGTGAGTTGGTTGAAAATGTGAATGTGAAGTTCAGCAGTTACATGGGGAGTATAAAATGGGTAAAAAGTTCAGGAAAATCTAGGAAGCAGCTTAGCATTTTGAGCTTGGCATTAGTAAGTAGCGCACAAAACCAGAAAAAGAAACCAAACCCTTTGCTGTTGAGTCGATTCTGACTCATAGTGACCCTGTAGGACAAAGTAGAACTGTCCCGTAGGGTTTCCAAGACTGTAAATCTTCATGGAAGCAGACCGCCGCATTTTTTTCTCACAGAGTGGCTAGTGGCTTTGAGCCACCTACCTTTCAGTTATCAGCCGAGCGCTTAACCACTGTGCCACCAGGGCTCCTACTAGTGCACACAGCCTTTCTTAAGAAAAGCAATTGAGGGCTAAATCTGTAATAGAAAAGTAATTTAAAAGTTAGCTAGTCTCCTGAAAAATTTGTTACTCATCCATAATCTTGTCATTTCTTCTGTTTTCCTCACATGCACCGTCCCTTTCCAGTCTAGTTTTATGCCTTTGGGTCCCTCTTCATGGTTTTTCTTTAGAGTTGGAGTCCTGAGCAAATCATATTTCCAGAGAACTCCATGGAAACAGCCATCAAACTATACTTGTATTTCTTAAAATACGCTAGACTTTGCTTCTAGCTTCCAAAACTGGAGCCAAAATGTGCGGTTTTCAGTAGCTTGCCTCTTGAAGAATTTATTACCATTGTATGTGAGAAGAAATTATGCAACTTTATGAGAAAAAATGAGATTCATTTGTTTGTATTTTGAAATAGAATTTTATCTTATAAGAGAAAGCCAAGAAATGACAGGAAGTTACTCCTCCAAACATAATTCTGTCTTTGAATTTTTAGAAGTAAATATGTGGTGGCTTAAGAATGATCATTCCTTTTATTGGCCCATGGATGAAAGAAAAGTGAAACCAAACTTGTGTATGAAAACAGCATGGAGTAGAAAAATTGTTGCACAAAAAGTCAGGAATACTGTGATGACTGCTGCAGGTCAACCTTTTCTTGATTTCAGTATTCTTGCCAAAAAACTTCAAGTTATGAAGAAATTATACTTGTTCTAGTTTGGACCCAATAGCTTATCTTACAGAGACTACTCTTCAGGAGTACAAAGGTACCTTTGCATTTCAAGTAGCATTAACTATAAGTTTTATTCACGTTATGGTCATAGTACCATCTCTCTTCGAGTTACTGAGTTAAATTTTGGTTTTGCTTGTTACTGTGAAAAATCCATTGCTAATTAGCCGGTGGAAAAACTAGAGTTCTTTTTCTCTGAAAAAATTTTTTTCTGATTATAAAAGTAGTAATACAAATTATTACAGAAATTAGAAAATGAAGTGTAAAGGAAGAATCGTGCACAATCCTACCACTGAGGTATTGTCGTTCCCCGTTGCTGTCAGTTCCAACTCACGGCAACCCCATGTGTCACGGAGCAGAAGTGCTCCATAGTATTTTCTTCAGAATCGACTCAACAGCAACAGATTTGTTTTTTTTGTTTTTAATCTTAACGGAAGCAGATCCCCAGGCCTTTTCTTCCGTGGTACCCCAGGGTAGGTTTGAACAGCCCACCTTTAAGTTAGCAGTTGAGTGCGAACCATTTGTGCCACCTAGGGACCTCACCAAGATAAACCACGGTTACTTTTGGGTGGGTCTCCATGTGTAAAACATGATTTCATTGTACGTTCCATTTTGTCGTTTGCCTTTTTCACCTAAACACGCACGGTATTTTTTTATATCCTTAAATATTGTTTAGAATCTCGACTTTTCTTAGCAGTTTGGTAATCATCATGTGAATCTGTATGATAGTTTATGTTGCTAACTCCTTTTGTTGTTAAATACGTCACTGCTGAATTACTGAAAGTAGTTTCCTTTCATGTGATGTCTGTCTTCAGTTATCACATTTTTAAGTATTTTAGTCCAGATAGAAAGCTTTGTTTTTCAGTAATACTCGTTAGTGTTCGCTACGGAGAGCAAAACTATACAGTCCAACAAATACTTTAAATACTTTTTAAAGCACTAAATCCACATCCACCGTTCGCTAAGTAGTCTCCTGGTGTAGATGACAACTTAACGCTGACTGGAAAGGTCTGTCTTGGGACAAGTGGTACAGCCAGTGTTACTACGTCCTCAGCTTAAGTCTTCAGTGATCACTGTTCCTGAGACTACAGTGCTTTGTTTTTTAACCTTATCCTGCCTCAACCCCCTCTGCTTTCAGATTTGTCTAGAAAAGTGAAATTTGATTTAAAGCAAAGCCATATTTGACCTGCTAGGTCACAGTAACAACCCGTGTGTGGAGAGTTCCGTGGGCTCACATCAGTTGCAGAGGTTATTCTAGGTGACAAGCATTCATCATGAAACACATTAAGAGAAATTGTTTGAGTACTTTTAAGTATTTAGAGGAGTCGGGCTGACAAAAAGGAGTAGCATTTGGTCTCTGTGGCTCAGAATATTAATTGCTTTACGTAGAGGTTAATCATTTTTAATTATCATGTGCATTTATTTGCAGCAACTCTGCACAAACGTGATTTTCTTTCGTTGTAAAGAAGAGTTGTTTTTGCCTCCCTTCTAAATGAGTTGCTCTCCTTGTTAATTTACTTAGAAAGCCCTATGGAGATTTTTGCCCTTGAAAAAGCCTTTGTGGTGCCTGGTCTGTGTTTCTTGCTAGTTATACCACTGTTACAGACTGAATACAAAAATCAGGTAGAAAGAAGGCTCTTTGAGTCTGATGCAAGAATGGGAAAAGAAAACAGATCCAGAACTGGACTGAAAAGCCAGCCCAGAACGGGAGGCAGATTTGGGGATTGGCCTGTTACTGTGGGTCTGGATCTTGATCAGACAGGATTAGATGCAGTACCTCCGAACCATTGCACATTCCTAAACAGGAGCATTTTAACAGGTTTGGAATCAAATAGGATTTTTCAAGATTTGATTTCATCTTCTCATTTGACATTCTTGTGATTTAAAATTTTCCTTTTCTCACATTTTCTGCTTTTTCCTTACTTTTGCGTAATTACGTAGTTGAAAATTTAAAAACAGCTTTTTATCCCCTTCTGTTTTTTTCCTAGAAATTTTAAAAGATTTTCTAAGGAGTAGATAAAATTTTGTTTATACTATCATGAATTGTAGTTGAGCTTACTCAGGTATTTAATATCACTACCGTATGTTTGTTGGAGAGAGGCTGAGATCAGTGAGAAGTGAAATAATATTTTGCTTTGGGAGAATAAATATTTCTTCCACATAAGTATGTACAAGTACTTCCTAATAGTAACTCATGTGATTATACATTTTTTTCAAGTTACTTCTCTCAGTATTTGGAGGACAATGGCCCCTTGGACATAAGACACAGAGTATTCAACGAGTATCGGTTTTACCCAGAAGAAACTCGACAGATAGTGCAAAAGGCAGGGGGTCTGAGACAGTTTCTCCTGAGATGTCCCCGTTTCGTTGTGATCGACAACTGCATTGCACTGAGGAAAGTTTCAACACGGATAAAGAGGAAGAGAAAGAAGAAAGTCATTAAGGAAGAAGTAGACGAAATTTCAAGCATAGATGATGAGATGTATTTACCATTTTTTCTGTCATTGCACCCAGACACTAGGGAATTTACACCAGAGTCAGGTTCATCTTCAGCACCAGCTTCTGAGGATGTGATGCCCAAACCAGTGTCTGCTGATTCTCCCAACTCAGCTTGCAAAGATGTGAAGCCCGAACTGGCATCTGGAGATTTTTCCAGACCTGTTGCTGCAGATGGGGAGCCCAAGTGTGTCTCTTCTGATTCTCCCCAACCAGTCTCTGAGGATGCAAATCACACGCCAGTCTCCTCTCAATCTCCCAAACCAGCGTCTGAGGATGTGAAACCAACCTACTGGGCTCAACCCTGTTTGGTCACAGGCTACTACCCGTATCTTCCTTACCAGGGGTTTGACATCACACAGTCACCACCAGCGTACATAAATATGCTGTCAAGTATGCCACAGTACGCTGGCATATATACACCTTTGGCCACCATTTCTGAGTATCAGCTGCAAGGTGCAATTCCAGTGGTGCCATCTTTTGTTGCCCATGATAGGCCGGATCCCAATGCAGCTGCTGCTTTTGAGGGTCATCATGTGAATGCTGAGAATACCTCTGGTAACCGGATTGCCTCCGAAACACAAATCCTTCAAGGCTCTCTGGAAACATCAGTGAAGTCACACTGCGGCCTGGGTGATGCTGATACAGCCCTCAAGGAATCTAGCAGAAATGATAGTCATGGTGGAAGGTCTGCCAAGAAGGGGGAAGGAAGTAGAGTCAGGATGAGGGCAGTCGCAGCTCATCCACCTACACAGATGGCTGCCGTGCAGGTGAGACTTATGTAGGAAACAGTCTTCTTAATGCTGAAGTGCCTGTTTTCTCTTCATCTTTCATTGCCATTTTATTTACTAAAATCCTGAAAAATTATGAGCTTTGTAATGGTTACTGAAACTTTGTCTGAAAATGTTTTAAAAATATTAACCGTTTTGTGGGGCATGACAGGTAATCTTGTCAGAAAGAAATGTGAGGTCCAGTAAATAATACTCTTCTTACTGGAGGAACCCCGAGACTGTTGCCCTAAAATACCCTTACAGCGTAGAACTGAAGCTACTCCTGGAGGTCACCTTTTCGCCAAATAATAGATTGGCTTCTAAAATAAAGAGTATCACCCATAAATACTGTGCTCCCTTAAATAATCAACTAGATGGCAGCAGTCAGCATTTACCTTAAAACAAAGATAAGAAGCTAAGGAGGGACAGGGAAGCTAGACAAATGGAAACAGAACAAACAGAATGGAAATAATGAGAACATTGACACGTTGTGAAAAATGTAACCAATGTCATGCAACAGTTTGTTTAGAAACTGTTAAATGGGAACCTAATATGTAAACTTTTACCTAAAACACAGTAAAATATTAAATAATAATAATAATACTCTTTTTCCCTGCCCAAGTTCTGTACCCATTAAGAGATAAAGGAGTCAGCAGGTGGAGTTAATACACCATCTGAAGCATTAATAGGTGTGGTGGGGGTATGTGGCTTGTATCTGTTGAAAAGTGCACATCCTAACAGTGAACCCCATATCACACACACTTACCCACACAGTTACAGCGTGCTGGGAGTCTGCTGGTAAGACTTATTGCATGGGGGCGGGGGGCAGGCGGAATATGTGCCTCTGTGCAGGCATCCAGCTCCCAAGAGGAAGGAAAAAGGAAGAATCTGGGCTGCATGTGCTCTGGGCTACACGTGCCGTTTCTCCTACCAAACCAGGGGAGGAGTGAGGGAGTTAAAAGTTTTTACCAGATGGAGAGAAACGTGAGGAATGGGTCTAAGACTTCCCTTCCTGTCAAACATAAGAATAAATAGAGGTTCTTCCATAGTTGCCTTTACCCATTGCCATGGAGTGGATTCCAACTCATAGCGACTCTGTATGACAGAGTAGAACTGCCCCATAGAGTTTCCAAGGAGTGCCTGGTGGATTTGGACTGCCAACTTTTTGGTTAGCAGCTGGACTCTTAACCACTTTGCCACCAAGGTTCCCTAGTCGCCTTTACAGGGCCTGAATTCATTAAACCCTTAATGGATTTCCTCCCTCCTTATTAACGTTTCTGTTTTCTAGGGAGCTTTGAAAAAGTATGTTGAAGAGTTAGTGAACCAAAACTGTTCTGAGTTGTACTGATTCTAATACTAAAATAAATTCTAATAGTAAAACATGCCTAATACAGATGTTTGTAGGAAACACAGGACATTGTTTAAATTTGGCTAAAAAAGAAAATTGTAGGCATGTTTTAAAATGCTCTTACGTGATGGATTTGTTTTACTAGAGCATTTATCAGAGGCAAATCAACATTAAGCACGCATTTTTTGTGTTGCCCCATAGGTGTCCTGGGATGTAGCACACCAGGAGGTCAATACTGAGCCTTACGAACGTTTTGAGGCAGAGCCGGTAAGTCAAAATTGTAATAAACCATTTAAAGGTTTAATTTTCATTAACAAGATGGGGGTGATGTACCAGAACTATTTTGGAGCCAGCTAATCCTATACAAAGTGATCATGAAATAAGCTTTAGAACAGAAAAAGAAAGCTTTTATTTTTATTGTTGAGATTTGGGACGGGGCAGATGAAATTTTTTTTAGCTTATTTATTTCAAAGTATAATGGCTTTACTGTTTTAACTAGTGTAGTGAACATGTATTAATTTATATACCAGAGCTTATTCACATGAATAATACAGGAAAGTATTCTAAAGACCTTCACCACTTTAAGAATGGTTCAACTAGAAAATCTATTAATATAACTTATCATGTTAATATATCATAAGAGAAAAATTATTTGATCAACTCCATAGTTGCCGAAAAGGCATTGGATAAAGTTCAGTGTCCTTTCTTGACTAAAACTCATATTAAAATGGCAGTAGATGAATTCTTCTCAACACATTAGTATCTTTCTCTGTTAAGCCAAAAGCCATCATCTTGTTTAAAGGTGAAATAGCACCATTGTTATTTATTACTATTCTGGAGATATTAGATTGCAAAGTTAGATAAGAGAAAGAAGTAACATTGGAAAGGAGAAGGTATAAGTATCATTATTTACAGAGGCTAAGAATGTGTATACCTGGAAAATCCAAAATAATCAACCAAAAACCTATACAAAGATATAATAGAATTCAGAAAGGTGATTGATCCACAGTAAATAGAACTTCCAGATACAAACAACAACCTGTTAGGAAGTGTATTAGAAGAAAAGATTCCACAATAAACCGCACGGCAAAAATGTGTGTGTTTATATACATACATCATTGTTGTTAGGTGCCATCGAGCCGCTTCCGACTCATGGCGACCGTACATACAACAGAAGGAAACACTGCCCGGTCCTGCGCCACCCTCACCATCGTTGCTGTGCTTGAGCCCATTGTTGCAGCCACCATGTCAGTCTGTCTCGTTGAGGGTCTTCCTCTTTTTCGCTGACCCGTTACCAAACGTGATGTCCTTCTCCAGGGACTGGTCCCTCCTGATAATGTCCAAAGTAAAGGAGACGACGTCTCACCGTCCAGTTAAAGCTGGTCTGTGAGACAGTTACATAACTGAAAACAGTTTACTGATGGTATTTTAACTTGTCTTTTTGAAATGATCAGTAACTTTCCATTTGGAACTTTTAAAATTAGGGCCAAAGTTAATGTGTTCTGTTACTTGATGCTGTATGTGCATAATAATGTGAAGTTTTTAAACCTAATAAATGGTTCTTAATGTTAATTCTGTTGATCTAATACTGAACCGTTCTAATACCAGTAAATATTCAGAAGCGAAGTTGGAGTTGACTCGATGGCAACAGCAATTATAATACAGATTGAATTCCAATAATAATTGTACAGTCATGTGCCACATAACATCCGTTTGGGCAACAGCCATGGTCCCCACCACCTTTCAGTCTTGCCTAGTGGATGCACAGCCCTTGGCGGTTCTGCTTCTCCGGGCGCAGAGGGGCTCGGAGAGGCCAGAGTGGCCACGGGATGGGATTTCTGAGACGGGGAGAGGATGGGCGCCTGACCCGCTCTGGGGGGCTTGGTGAACAGTGAAGGGGCTGACGGTGACACCAGGAGTATACTACAAGTCCATGCTGCTGCTGGTGCTCTACTCTGGTGCTGCTGCTTGTGCCCCCCATGCTGGACAGAGGCCAAGACAGGGACAGGGCACCAGCTACCGCACAGGCCTGCAGGGCAGCCTGAGAGTGTGGAGCCTGGACGTGGTGGCACGGCCCACCGCTGAGGGGGGCACGGGCAAGTCCCCTCGTCCCCTGGACAACCTCAGCGGTGCCATCAGAGAGGCGGTGTGTATAATACGGTGTTGGCAGAACGTCCAAATCACATAACATCCAAGCGATGCATGACTGTATTTAAACAACAGCTGACTTTGTTAAACAGTACTTAGGGGTTTTTAATTCTTGAATTATTGTGACTTTTTTCTTGTAAATTTTCATCTGCCTTTTATTCTTATGTATTTTAAGAGAGCTCAGAACAAGATTAGAAAGGGATTTTTAACTATTTTTACTAGATAATTTTGTAATTTACTTTTAGGGGGATATTTCAAGGATGGAAAAAGAATACAGAAAACTACAAGAGAAGCTTGAGAATGCATATGAAAAGTATGAACAGACAAGATTCAAGGGCTTAGCAGAGATCAGGGACCTGGAAGAAAAGCTAAAAAGGAACTCAGAACGATGCCAGGTAATCCTGTCTGAGACCTCTGTTTAATCATGTATGGCGTGATACAGATATAACTGTGCTTCTGCATTGTTGGCTAAACAAAGGATTCTTTCTGAGTTTTGCTTATTTCAGGTTTCTCTGTGACGTACTGAAGTGACAGGGTTTTTTTGTTTTTGTTTTTGCAGTGTTTTAGAACCTCTACAAGTTGCCTTATAAGAAAGCTAAAAGGGCTGTAAATCTGGTTTTTCATTCACCTGTAATTCAGTTTGCTTGGTTAACTAAAACTATTTTATGGTTGCCAAGTTTCCTGGTAAAGTCTTTATCTTGAGAAGCAGCATAACATCTGTGGTTCAGAGAGTGAGCTCTGGAGTCAGGCTGGCTTCTATTCGAGTTCCAATCTTGGGCAAGTTACCTAACTTCTGTGTGCTTAAATTCCTCATCTGGAAAACTAGGGTAACAGTTTTCATTTTGTAAGGTTATCATAATGATTAAATAAGTTAATATGTATAAAGTACTCAGAACTACCCTGGTACATAGTAAGTTAGTACTGACTGCTGCTATTATTATTACTGCTGTTATTTTCATCCTCATCCTCATCTTACTCCCAAGAAGTGTAAGAAGAACATGCGGACCTTAGGCATACTAGAACTGTAGTTACCCAGGGCATCTCGTTGGAATCTCCTGACCTTGAGTTCCATTGGCTAAATTTGTCAGTTACATATAACTGACTTTGGAGTCATTATTGCCAAGGCCAGACTGAATTGATGGAAATAGAGAAGTGAGGAAATCATGGTCTCTTTTTAAAAAATAACTACCTCTGTTCAGAGTGGTAACAAAGGGATATTGGTCCATTTAAGAAAGGAAGAATTTGTTCCAGAAATCTAGATCAATAGTTGATGTAACATATAAATAGAAGAAAATTGGCTTAACATGGGACCTTAATTAAGGAACCTATTTGTTGAGATGTAGGTATATCCAAAAGAAAAGGGTCGATTCACAGAGATCACTGTGGAAACATTCCTCAGAACTTGTTTATTCTCAGGATGGGACTGGGGAGTGGGAAGGCTGAGAAGAGTTGGATAGAGACAGAGACTTTCAACTCAGTTGCCTGGTCTGATGAGGACTCCTGGTTGGGAGAGGAAAAAAGAACAAAAACAAAACCACAGTGACACATGAAACATAGATTTAAACAAGCCACTTTCAGGGTTTAGCAAAATAAAATATTTTTAGAAACTTTGTATTGTCTTGGGAAAATTCTGTTTTAATAAATCCATATGGGAATACCTGTGCTCACCTGGGAGTCCCTGGGTGGTGCAGACAGTTAAGTGCTCAACTGCTGAAAGACTGACAGTTTGAACCACCCAGAGGCACCTCGGAAGACAGGCCTGGCGATCTGCTTCTGAAATGTCACAGCCTTAAAAACCCTATGGACCCAGTTCTACTCTGCACACGTGGAGTCGCTGTGAGTCGGAGTCAGCCTGACGGCAGCTAACAACAGCTGGCCACCCGATTGAGTGGCAAGGGTGGTTTTGGAGACACAGTCACTTACTGTGGGCCTCCAGCGTGGGAGGTTTATTTCTGCCTGGTCGAGGCTTTTCCAGCTTTATAAACTGCTCATGGGCCAGGCCCTTCATTTGTGCAGTTGATTGAGAAGCCTTTTGCAAGCAAAATCCCCAGGCAGGATCCCTGTAGGAGCAGGGCTCCTGTTACACTCTCTCAACTCGGTAAGGCTCCGGGTCTGGTTTCATGTGGCTGTACTCAAGAGTGCAGTCGTTCTGTTTTTTAAAAGGACAGTTGGTCCCCCGAGTTATAGGCCTGTTAGGTTCTTAGACTTCCCGTGTAAAATGTATGCCTGTTTCCTCTCAGGATAAATTGCTAATCTGAGTTCCTTAGGTTGGTGTCTACACAAAAGCAGATGAGATTTACCTTTGGTCACTTCTTATTGGTCATAAACAGTTATGCTCATAATTAGCTTGTGGAGAACCTTTTATAAACGCTTAACAAACATTTGTGGCTTTCATTGATTCTTTCCTGACTCTGTAGATCACTGAGGTTATAAGCTCACCAACTTTTACTTTGAAGTTACTTAATGTATTTGGATGTATCAGATGACACCCTACTCCCCACCGTCACCCCCACCCCGTTCTAGGGAATAGAAAGATGGGCAAGCAATAGAAAATAAGAAATCAGGTATTAGGATCACACTGCATGCTTTAACTCCCAGCACCACCACTTAATATCAACTCATAGCGACTCCATGTGACAGAGTAGAAGTGCCCCACAAGGTTTGCTAGGCTGTAATCTTTACAAAAGGAGCCCTGGTGGTGCAGTGGTTAAGCACTTGGATGCCAACCAAAAGTCACTCCACAGTTGAAAGATGTGGCAATCTGCTTCCGTAAAGATGAGTCGGAATCGACTAGACAACAATGGATAATCTTTACAGATTCCAAAAATACTTACTTTGGAACAAAGTTGAGGTTTAAAAAAAAAAAAAGGTATGAAAACAAATTTTCTCTGATTGAGAAAAAGACCATCAGAAAGTGTTTATAGTTAGGTCAATAAGCTGCGTATAGAAGCCTGTTCTTTCTTTTAAATTCTGGTGTTTGGAGGAGAAGGGCTCAGGAGATAATGGCCTTCCATGCATTCAGAGACAGGTTCTTGGTAGCTGTCAGGGTTAGCATTGTGAGACAGCTAAGTTATTAAAGGATGGTTAGTACAAACAGGAGATGAACTCATGTAACTTTTCAGTGGCTGAACTATAAATAGGTAGTATGTAAGACTTTGTGCCTTTTGATACCTGAACTCCTTTAGCTACTTGTTGCCAAGTAGGTTCTTACGCCCCAGCATAACCTTGTAGTTGCACATAATCTCCCAGCCAAAGGGTGCATCCTCGGTGAAGTCATTGGCTCAGAGTAGAAGCCCCATGTAGGTGAGAAACAAGGTTGGCTTGGCTGCCAGCAGCAAGGCAAGCAAATCAGCATGGGTCATGGCAGTAGAACTGAACTAGAGAGGATGCAGGATTGTGTAAGTAGAGTGGGTGTGGCACTAAGCTCAGCCATAGGAATGACCCGAAAAAATTCAGGAGCAGCAAATTTTCAGGCAAGGGAAGTGTGAGCAGAGCTGGTCCCCATGCTTTTCTGCCTAAGAACAGTTGGCGTGGGCATTTCAGATCACCCAAATCAACCCTCGCCCTCTGGTAGGACTCTGATATCTTAAAGGACCTTGACTGGTTAGCACATCTGCCTCTGAGGAATATTGAAAACCTTATTGCCTAAGGCTGAAGAGGGAGAAATATCCTCAAAGTCGATGTAGCTTTGGACATGACCATTATTTCCCATGGAGACTGTAAGTTGACTGTAGGGTGCCCTGTCCATTCTGAGGGAGAAGACGCTGCCTTGCTATAGCTAAACTCTTGTCCTCAGTGATTTAGTCACTAGTCAGCCTGACAGGGAAGTTCAGGCTCCAGGGAACCTGTCAGGAGGTGAAAAACTTAAAATTTCCCGAAAGCAAATAGGTAAAGTCAGGATTTCATTACGTAGCCATTGGTGACAGTGGAATTTCAACCTGGAAAATACGTGTAGCTAGTTGTTGATTTTAAATACTGCTCTGGTTCTCTGATTAGCATTTAAATTAATTATTAGAAATATTAGCATAGAGACTGTTTTACTTACAAGACCAAACCCATTGCTGTTGAGTTGACTATGACTCAGTGACCCTATAGTACAGAGTAGAACTGCCCCATAGAGTTTCCGAGGCTGTAATCTTCATGGAAGCAGACTGCCACATCTTTCTCCCGCCGAGAGGCTCGTGTGTTCAAACCATCTGTCTTTGGCCAAGTGCTTCACCACTGCACCATCAGGGCTCCTTGTTTTAATTAAAATGACTGGGATTTACAAGCATGCGCCCCGACCCAAACCCTCGTTATCACTGAATGGATGGTACTTTGAAAAAGACATGAAACTTTTAAAGAATCTGTAGATTCAGAAGACGTTTCCCAAAGCAGCAACTGCAGAAGGAAATAGACCTGGGTCTCAAGAGGTGTAGTACCCAACCTCCCAGAGGAAGGGTAGGTGACACTGCTTCAAAATACATTCTTTCCTTTCTTCTTGTCACGCAGCCTGAAATGCTGGCAGGTATCTCAAACCCAAATGCCTTCAAGGGCCAGGCCAGAGGCATCACATATATATTTTAAAAAGC